TGTGTGGACACTGCCTGTTGTGCGTGGACACTTGCCGTTGTGTGTGGACACTGCCTGTTGTGCGTGGACACTTCTTGTTTCAAGTGGCAGTCCATTGAATGTGGAGACACCGTCCACTGTGGAAGTGTGTTATACGCTGGTTTGTGGGCGTGATCTGGTGACAGCAGACAGTGACAGCCACGCTACTTGCTCCCCATTCAGATGACCCTGTGCCTTTAAAATCCCCCCACCCCACCCCCCCTTATGGTGCTGGAAAAGCCTCATTAGCAATTAACCAAATTACATTAATTGTCAAACGGGGGCCCGTGAATGCGTGCAGGACGCGCTCCGTCGCGGGAAGCGGTGGGACCGCAGGGCCGCCGGCACGTCCAGGCCGCCCGTTCCTCCGCTCCGCTCTCTTTAGCTTAATTAGCATTTAGATGTGAGTTTTTGCTCCACACCTGCTGCGCTTTTCTTCAAACCGCACGCTTGGTCCTAAGCGACAGAGCACTTTTGGTGATGGACTGTGGCGGCCCCCACCCCCGCCTCCTCTGCAAGCCCTTGTTACCGGACCCCCGCTGCTTTATGGGACCCTGCATTCCCTACAAGTGCCAGAGATTTGACGTGACCAAAGACCCGGCTCCCAGCACTCCTACATCACCCCCCCGAGCAGTGGAATTAAAGATCATTTTATTAGAAGCAGTTACAGGCCAGAATCAAACCATTAGTTAGTATGGTGGAGACATTACGAGGCATCAGTGCCTATCGCAGCATGATTTCCACCGATCAGTCAAAGATCTAAAGATCACAGCAATGGACTCTGTGTTCTTCCTACAGCTTTGGAAAGAGAGAGAACCTCCTTTGTCTCATTAAAAACTGGTGGCCATCAGTACCAGCTCTGTGGTACCCAAGCAAAACACGCCACCGGTCCACTGTCCAGCAGTACCGCAGCAGGCCCAATTAGTGTAAGAATTTCACTTTGCCAGAATGGTTTGGATGAAAACGCAAAGCCCAGGATGGAAAGTGTCTCGCCTACCATGCCTGCTTTGCGTCTCCTCTGTTTGCTTTGCCTCCCTTCGAGATAAAGACATACAGTGGACCAGTCTGGCTCACAGCAGCGCAAAAGAATTTCATGTTCTTGGGAACAGAGATATTTTCTCCAGTATTTCCCTTTTACTTAAAATACTGAATACTGTTCTGCGAACAGGGAAGGAAACCAGCATTTTGATAACAAAAAAATTGCTTGGCAATAGAGTAAGGCCAATGCCCAGTTAACAGGTAAACCTGCAGACTTTACATTACATCAAACAGATGAGAGGAGCAGAGACAGAATCACCCTTATTATATTCACTTCCTTAATGAAATTAAATGAACCGTACTG